AAAAGTACTAATTGATTTCACAAATACGACGTTGCCAATCAATTAATCCCCAGCAACGGCGCCAAAAACTATGGTGCCTCTCCAAGAGTGTGCACAAAACAATGCATAAAACTTTGAGTTTGGAAATTAGTGTCAAGTGGGCACCATAATTTAAATTTATAAACCGCTTAACACTTATACTATGTAGTATGAATGAGAAAGGATCGTCCCAAGGGATTGAGGTGCCGTACTAGGTTGAGGAATCAAGATTAGGGTTAGTAGGTCGAGTGATCAAAATAGTGGTTGGTGGTTGAATTACACTAAGATGCAATTTAAACTAAAGTAAACAATAATGCAATAATGAGAATGAAAGAGAGAGAGAGAGAGAGAGAGAGATCTTGGGGTTTAGAGATCACCACTAAACATACTTTTCTATACCTTTAATGAATGATTAATGAGGGGAAAAACATGTATTGCAACAAAGTGTATGTGTGTGGTTGTTTCAACAAGCATGGATGACAAATTAAGCATGTATTGTCTAAACAACATGGTGGATAGTACAACATATCAAATTAAGCCATTAATCCTTTCTTTAAGCTCACAATCCAAACACATCACAAGGTTAGAAATATATGTTACTTGCTTTCATAAGTATGGAACATCAACAACAAGCATGAATTGTCCTCCCATTTAATAGCTACACTACAACTAAGCTAATGACATAAAATTAAACTAATTAAACTAAGGGAAAGGTACAATCCATCAAGAAATAAGTATGAACTATCAAATAAACCATAATAACATGACATTAAGCACTATGTCTTGACAATCTCTAGATCTATAGTATCAATACACATAGATATGTATCAATAACACAAGAAATAGAGACAAACACATGAACATCTATTCTAACATACATAGACATATAGGTATAATGAAATGATCAATTGGAAGCATTAAACCACATAAATCATTGAATAAACAAGATCTATATATATAAAAGTGTCAAGACATGAATCACAATATAAATCCCCTCATAAATACATAAACCAAGAAGTAGAAAGTATGCTTAGGGCTAACTCTAGCCCCAAGATGATGTCTAGCCACTCATGGATGATGTCCTCCAACCCTCAAGGGCAAGCTCCATGGAAGAAATCTGCTCCTTGGTTGATGAAGAGTCTCCAATGGTGTCTCTAGCCTCCTCATCTCCTTTTCTTCCTCACTAAGTATTATCTTCTCTAAGTATGTCTATATGTGTAAAAGTGGCTCATATTCCTTATATAGGTAGGTCAAAAATCACCCCAAATGAACTGGGTTCGTACACTAATAATCCTCTAATGATTGGATATGAGACAACTTTTAATGAGCTGGAATTTGGATTTTTCTCGGGATTTGGGAAGTTCGATCGATCGAACTTGTGGTGAGATCGATCGAACATGGCTGAGATCTATCGAATTGAAGCTGGATCGATCCTCAATGGCGGCGCCTTTTTGGATAAAAACAAATCTGAAATATTTTAGGAAAAGGACAAAAGTGGTTGGTAGGGTGGTACAGCTGGAAAAGATCTGGCATGTGGATTAGGATAAGAAAGTTCGATCGATCAGAGAATGATGTTAGATCGATCAAACTTTTGGGATCTCTGAAAATGACATCATGGCCTGGATCTATCTTGAAGTACTGAGATCGATGGAAGTTGGATCGATCGAACTTTTCTTGAGATCGATCGAAGTTGCTGAAATTCCACCATTTCCTTCCTTTTGCTCTACTTTGCTCCTTTCTTTGATTCATCCCAGAATTGCTTCAATTATGCTCTTATTTGGTTGAGTTAGCTTATTTTGGGAATAAGTACCTGAAAATGGAAATAACACGAAATCAATATAAAACGGTAAAATAAGATAGATAAAGGTTCTAGAATACCTAAGCTTAAGGGGTTTAAATACGTACTTTTCAGTGCTCATCGTGCTTGAGCACAACCTTCTTGTGCTTGAGAACAACATTATTGAGCTCGAGCACAACATTCCGATGCTCGAGCACTGGGCTCTTCACTTGTGCAACTAACCATCTTTCTTCAGATGGTCATATCATTTTTGTTTTAAACCCAATTTAGGTCATTCTTGAGCCTAAATTTATGAATTTTGAGTAAGCTATCTGATGGTGTACACCATGTTCTCCATATTTGTCATGAAATGACCATTTTACCTTTGATTTACGAGTTTTAGTTGTGCTTAGGACCTTGTAGGGTACCAAGGAGGTGCCTCGGATTTTAAGTGCCATATATTAGGGTTTGTGATATTTTTTAAGGTTTTGAGCTCGAGCACTACCCTCAGTGCTCGAGTATTTTCTTCTAGAGCTCGAACTCTGCATTTTTCGAGAGTTTCTTCACAGTAATCTTCTTTGTGCTCAAGCACAACCTTCTTGTGCTTAAGTACAACATTATTGTGCTCGAGCACAACATTCCAGTGCTCAAGCACTGGGCTATTCACTTGTGCAATTAACCATTTTTCTTCAGATGGTCATATCATTTTTGTTTTAAACCCGATTTAGGTCATTCTTGAGCCTAATTTTATGGATTTTGAGTAAGTTATCCAATGGTGTACACCTGCATGTTCTCCATATTTTTCATGAAATGACCATTTTACCCTTGATTTTCATATTATGACTGTTTTGACTTTAGCTTTCGCATTTTGTTGTCCGGGTTTTCGGATAGAGTTTGAATCATCTTATTTAATGCACCGGATCATGAGATTCAAGGCGTTACATACCTTGCACTAAAATTCAGTGAAAATCTTTGAATCTACACTATCTATACTCAGTTTGCATTGAACTAACATTTAACGATTTTGAAATTTTAGAATACAAATTGGGTAATATCTCAGGTTCAGGAAAACAATTTAAATCAACAATACAAATTAACAAAGAAAATAAAAAATAAAAATAAAAATAAAAATAAAAAAAGCGCGCGCACACACACACATGGTCCATCTCTTGCATTTACTGATGTAGAATTGACCATTTGAGAAAGATGTGTGTTTCTCCACAAGCTAACCTTTTCTTGGTCTCATCAATGGAGGATCGTCATTCCGTTGTAACACACATCGACGCCTAATTTAATCAATTCAGAAATCCCAAATTTTTTATCAGCAATCTCCTCACCTCTTCTTTTTTTTCGCCATCTGTGTTTTTCTGCCAGAACTTTAATTATGTCTTATAATATAAAAATGATGTGAAAATTTTGCCAAACGTTTGTGTTATGTCGTCCTTCAAGAAAAGAAAAGAAAATATTTAGGAATACAATTATTAATAATCAACATCTGTGTTCTTTGGATGCCCTGCAGTACAAGGAAACGTTTAGGAAAACGATTAGTAACAACCAAAATGTAATTTGAAAGGTATTAGCTCATATAACAAATAACATAAAAGATTATTAATAATAAATAAATAAACACATTTAATGGAACAAACCTTATTCTTGCATTTGAAAGAATATAAAAAATGTATAGGAAAAATAACAAATTTCTTACACTTCTATAAAACGTGTTGATAGATTTACAATGTCTACATATTGGCCCATGTAAAGAAGGCAAACGTGGCCTAAGCCCATGTAAAGAAGTCAAATGCGAATGAATTGATAACAAATTTCTTATAGTTCTATAAAAAGTGTTGATAGATTTACAATGTCTACATATTGGATGAGGATTGTCCTAGCTTCTCAAAAGGATTGGGCTACATATTGGCCCATGTAAAGAAGGCAAACGTGGCCTAGGCCCATGTAAAGAAGTCAAATGCGAATGAATTGTTTTACATCTTTTACCTCTTGTATATATATATATGGTGTTAATTTTTTTCACAACTCTAAGAAAGATCATTATGGCTGTCGGCTGCTTAAATATTGTACCTACATCAAACGCGTAGATTTGATTTGTTGGAAAAGGAGTGATAGTCCATCCTACACAACCATCACTCTCTGGATATCCATATTTTCTTGGCAATTTAAAGGCATATTTGAAAGTTTAATTATGGCTATTTGATTGCCTTAATTGCCATTCCCCTGTCCATGTGGGTTTGAAGAATTAGTCAGTGTGCAATTGAATTCAAAAGGAATAATTAGAAAATCTCGAGGTGCTGTATCAGTATTAGATGGATCTCATTTCATATATTTGTGAGCATTTACACATGCAAGTGTTGAGATCCGTTTAATGCGACAAAGCATGTCTGATCCCAACTTTAGACTTAAAATACTTAAATGCTAAATATTTTTTTTCCCTAAAAATAAAAAATAAAAATATTCAAGCCATTGGGCTCTTTTAGTTAATTTTCTTATTTTAAATGTAATCACGGGTAGGCGGATATAAAGTTATGGAATTTATTAAAAGTTCTAATTAAGTAATAGTTTTTCACCATTGTACCGGATACATGGTGTCAAATTGCATGTCAAAATTGGGTGCAAACAGTTTGGTTTTTATTAACTTGCAGGGTTGCCTCAGATTTCTCATGGCATTTTGTTTATGTTAGACCAAAAACCTAAAACATACCATGTTCTGTACCAAACTTTTAATAAACACCCATTGTTGACCAAGTGGGGGATACTTAAACCGCCGAAATATATTCTACAGCTTTGCTGTCTCTTTTCTTTTTATGGTCCACAATGTGTACTTTTAAGTGGTCAGATTTGAATGACTTTCTACCCTACAACCCTGTTGTAATTTTCTGTGATTTTAAATGAGCTATTAGGCTGGATTGAAGAACAAAGAATGAATCAGAAAACAGAGAAATTACAAAACATAGACTAATAAAATGAGTTCTAAACTCTGGTACAAATCCAAATATGTAAAGCAAAAAACAGTGTCTATAAAGAGGAAATGAACTCTAGCTGTGTGTACTACTTACTCTACCCTCACACAAACAATAAAACAAAATACATAATCCTTGGAAAACAAAGTCACATATACTGTCCCCCTTATAAACAGAGTACATATTTTCCGAAAATAAAGTCCAAACACTACGTACATAAAACTGTATCATTAGCATTTCAAATTCTGGATTTGCTGGGTCGCGATATGAACTTCCATGGTGCAATTCATATTGATAGCTTTCTTCTTCTTCATCACCAGCATTAGCTCCACCTTTCCGGTCAGTCTTGATGTGCAGCTCAGCCGCAAAATCCCAGAACTGAAATCAGTTGCTATTTCTGAACTGCTTGACGATAGGTCTATAGTAACATTGAACCTCTTGGTTGATTGAAATTTAGCCGTTGACTTGGGAACAATAGCATTCCCCACTGCTGCACCCTTGTAGAAGAAGGTAATGGTACTATTGTCGAATTTGTAAGGACCGAAGTTGGTGTTCTTGACACCAAGTCGAGCATTCATTCTCATGTCAAATGACGAAGCATTCACATTAAGAGTCTCGAATGAGGCAGCACGAACGCGGAACTTGGGAGTTTTGACTTTCATGACAGTGAGTGAAAAGATGACTATAACAATGGTTTGGAACACAACAAAAGCAGCAATATATAGAATGAGTTTCTTGCGTTTCTGGCGTTTGAGTTCTTTGGATTGTGCCTCTTCGTCTACGTGGCCATAGCTATTTGGTTCTGGCATGTGATGCCCTGGTTGCTGTTGCTTATCTGCCATTAATCTTCTTGATTAATATTGACAAGCTAGGTTTATAGAGAGGAGAATTTTTGCTTGTTTACTGGTAGGTGTTTGAAGGAAATGTGTTGACGGTAGAGGATGAATGCTTAGTAGATATATATATAAAGAACAAGAGGTATGTGAAAAGTGTGAAATGGGAACATCATTAATATTGAAGCTTTCAAACGCGTCTTACGCGTCTGACTTTTGGCGCGTATTATTTTCAAAAACATAACGTCTGTCATCTTAGTCTAACAGATGCTTCTATAGGAAAATGATAGCTCGACGCGGTTGTAAATTGTCACTATTCCCGGAATCAACGGCATTGGAAATCGGACAACAATTTTCAGCCTTATAAGTCACGGTCATCTGGAAGCGATGTTAATGTTTTCTTGTATTGTTTTAGATATTACATATCTATTCATGTTTTTTACTTACTATAAATTGAAGCTAGAAATTAATAATTCCTATGACCTTTGTTTTGTCGCGCTTACCCATTTATTCGAATAGTATTACATATCTATTCATTTATATTCAGATTCGATGTGAGACAAATAATCATTGTAATAACTATATAGGTTGTGCAGGGATGTAGTTAGGGGGTATTGTGAAAAAACTTAAAAGTTTTGGGGGTTTAATGTGATTTTTCGTAAATTATTGTATAAAATTGGAATTTGCATGGTATTTAATACCCACAGATGAAACTATGTAATTCTTTAGAATTCTATTCAATGATAAAATTAAAATTAATACAAAGGAATGATTCCGTATAGTGTTGTTAAAACTTATTTTTGAAAAAATATATTTAAATGGATTGTTATTAGTGTAAAATAATAACAATAATAAAATATATGTTTCTATAAGTAAATAAAAATACAACGGAAAATTTTTAAATTTTTCTTAAATTTATATTTTTTTAAAAAAATTAAAAAGGAAAAGAAAACCTAAAAAGAAAATCATTTTAAAAGAAACCTAAATTTTATATTGAGGGGCATTTTCACTTTAATGGTCCATAATTTTCAATTTTTCTTCAATGTCTATTTTTTAAAAAAATAAAATGAAAAGAAAATCTAAAATGAAAATCATTTATAATAAATCTAAATTTTCTTAAATTTATATTAAAGGAAATTTTAATCATTATAACATCACTTTAATGATAAGTAATTTTTTTAAAAAAAAAAAAAATTTAATTTTTTATTTTACAAAAATTTAAAATGAAAAGAAAACCTAAAATGAAAATAATTTTAAAGAAAACCTAATTTTCTTATTAATTTATTTTAAGGGACATCATTATAACATAATTTTAAGGTATGTGAATTCACATGCAATTGAACAGTTCATGAGGATTTTAGATATTTTAAAAAATATTTGAGAGCTATTGTGCCAAAAATTGGCAGTTGGGAAGGGGGAATCTCCTATTAAACCCGAATTGCACTATTCGTGTTTCACATTAAATCTGAAGGAGGAGCGTTATGCATAATGTAGCGCTACTAGTAGCTTAAACTTTTTAACCAGTATTCAAATAAACGCCCGAACTGTTGTATCTATTTATTACTAGTTTTTGCAAAGATTGAAAGTTATCCCAAGTTGATTTTTGTACAAGATTTTTTTTTTTAACAAATGTCCGAATTGTTACACCTAGCTATTACTAGTCTTTACAAAGATTGAAAGTGATCCGGAGTTGGTTTTTGTACAAGATTTTTTTTTTTTTTCGGAAATTTAAAGCAAAGTGTATGGATATGAGTACAAAGTACAAACATTTACATAGCAACCAAATGGGGAGAGGCCCATCCCACTTTTTAAACTCAAAGGACTCGTTTCATAAGAATTCATTGGGGAGAGGCCCATCCCACTTTTTAAACTCAAAGGACTCGTTACATAAGAATTCATTGGGGAGAGGCCCATCCCACTTTTTAAAATCAAAGGACTCTTTACATAAGAATTTATTGGGGAGAGGCCCATCCCACTTTTTAAAATCAAAAGACTCTTTTTTGGAGTTAATAATGGCTCGGTGGCAAGAAGTGGCTTTCTCTTCGACTGCGTTTTTAGGGGAGAAAGGAAGCTAGAGAACTTGGTCAGTTGACTCACTCTCCCGGTTTTCGGAGAATCCTTCACTATTGCTAAGAGCAACCTGCTTCTAATGGATTCTTGGATTTCGATGATAAGTTGATAACTGCATTTTAAGATGTTATTGTGCCTTTCACCTTAAATGTGGTACACGAATGGAGAGAGTACCAATTTGTCTGTTGATATTGTGACATATTTGGTCATCCATTGATGGGAACACCGAGCCTTAAATCTGTTCAAGTCTCTTGGAGCTTTATGGAACCCACAATGTGTTTGAAGGAAGTTCCAAATGAGGAGTAAGAATGGAAAATTAGAGAAAATATGAGAAAAGTTTCACTTGAGGAAGAACAGAGACTAAGAAAGTCGGGAATTTGTTAGAAGTACATCTTTCAACTGTCTAGAGTGGGCAACCAGTTTTTGTATTGCAAACCATAGGATGAAAAAGTTCTTGGGGACAAAGAGGGTGCTCTATAGTAGATGGCTCAAACGAACAGAATGAGCTCGGTGTGAGAGGTGTAGAACTGTATGTTTTAGAGAGATTTGGCTTGAGGTGGAATGGGACCAAAAGAAAATGTCTGGATAAGAGGAAATGGAGGGGGAATTGAGGACAATTTCGATAGCAGTGAAATAAATTTTGGAGGAAAACTCTACGAGGAATCCTCTATGAAGCTGTTGAGTTTGGTGGAAGAGCCTATATCTGGAAGGGAGGAAAGAATGCGATTGTGCCTCGGCAAGCTAGCTCCATTTGGTAACTGGTTGTCACGCCGAAAAAAAGAGTGATTCTCCACTCCTTACAGCAGCTTCGATGAGTGGACTGGCAAAATTTTCGAGCTGGAGGAGCTTGTGCCAGTTCCAATAGCAATTTTGAGGTATTTTCTCATTCCAAATGCATTTCTATTTGATGAGATGTGTTCTTGTCCATTGCCACCAAACTGTTGCAATATTCAATGTTTCTTGATGAGATAGACCTAGGCTCCTACCTCTTTAGGTTTGCATATTAGTCTCCATGTTACCTTGGCATTCCTTTTTATAGCTTCAGATCCTGCCCACGTACAGAAAGCATCTGAAAATTCTGTTAATGTTTGTGAGTACTGATTTAGGCAAAATTAGGTGGCTGCACCAGAAAAGTTGAATGCTGATTAGAATAGATATCAGTTGGGACCATCTAGCATAGTCGACCTGCTTGTAATCTTTTTCCACTAGGGCAGTGCAATCTGAGTCCTTAAGACTTGTTCTCCTAGGTGCATTGATTTTATAAGCCTCCAGCATAGAATAGAAATATACTCGGTCCAGCGCTTTATTTTGTCGAAGTTATTCTTCAAATGTACACTTGCAATATGCAACTCCTATCTAAGAAAATAATAATAATAATAATAATATATATATATATATATATGTAGACATGTATGTATATAAATTTGCATAAAATACATAAGCGAACAGAGTATGTATGCATGCATCTATGCCCGCACACACACATAAGTACATAATATGTACTTGTAGCCAAAATTTTGTATTCTCTCACTTGTATAGAATTGTAGTGTTTTTTTTTCTGAAAATGAATAATGATAAGTGAGTTTCATAGTTTCAACCAAACGTTTTATGAATTCCTTGCAGTGAATCTCTTTGGTTATGTCCCTAAGCACTCCTCCATAGTTTTGGCTGGCTGCTAGGGGAAAACTGAACACTGAACACTGAACACTCAATATCTTTTCATCCAAAAAGGCATTCTTCATCTAGTTGTGTGTTTTGTGGATTAGCTAGTCACTGAATTATCTACTTTATCTTTTCTTCCAATGCAAATTTACCAGCTATATCTTGACTGCTCTCTGAGGGCAGACTTTTGGCGCAACAATATGTTAGCTCCATTTTTGACCTAGAGGTCATTGGCTCGAAATGGAAAACCACCTCTCTAAATGCACAGGTAAAGCTGTGCACAACGTTCCCGAACCCTACAATGGCGGGAGACTCCTACATTGGGTTAGAAAAAATAGTTTTGACAGCTCTCTTCTAAGGTTGCATTCAATGTCCATCTTCCACTGATCTGATGAAGTCCTTTCTGGTATTGGCTAGCTGCAATATACTCATGTGAAAAGGAAGGTATGGAACAATTCGTTCAATTGGTGTTTGCTTTCTGCTACAGTATTGTATACACCCTTTAGAAGGAAAGAAACGATAAGCGATGTTGAACAAAATTAGAGATGATCGTCAATCCATTCAAAATGAGATTTTCAATGCTTTAAACGAGATTGTTTACTCTTTTCATTGTACATAGGGGCATGCTCAACTTTATAGTTGTACATTTTGTTTATATGTATTCAAATTAAGTACTAAAAAAAAAATTCAAAAGCCCCAAACTATGCCGGTCAACTGGGATGTGCTGAATCATTGCCGAATTAATGCGTTTCCTTTCATGTTAGACCCCATGCCCAATCTCAGTCCATTTTCCGAGAAAAAGCTTCGGTCGAGTTCAATATACACCCAGAATCATGTTTTTGCTGTTCTAGTAAAATATGCATAACGGATAATATGAACCCAAAAGAGCTCATAATATACAATGCTAAATTCATCAAACCATTTATATTTAGAAAATATTCATACATAAAATTTCATAAATCTACAAAAATATTGCCGGAATATAGCTGGGCCAAGGTTAGGGCTGAGATAGGGCAAAGCATGGAGGTGGGCTTGGGGCTCACTGGGACTGATAACAACATTACCTCTAAGATATTTTTTGGTTGGTAGCCCTTTCATGTCTCATTCAATAAATTTTCTTTTGACAAAATACATGGAGTATATTTCCACTTAAACAACTTTTCGATATCTTATCCTGTTATCCAATATGGTGGGCTAACGTTAGTTTGGAATCTCAAAATTTAGGCGATCCCCAATTCTTGAATGAAGAACAAATTAATTGAATCCCAGAAACCAAATTAATTGCATCCAAACTCATAAAAATATGATCTTATTATGATCCAATAAGGGACTATATCAACACTTATTATCTTCTTCCCGACCATAAAAACTAAGAATACATATTTCTTCGAAAATTAAAACTCCAAAACACCAAAAATTACACCTCACTTGCATTGTATATTCTGCAGCGTCCTGATGGCGAGGTTAAGATCCATGGTGCAAAGCATATTCGCGGTTTTCCTCTTGTTGAAAATATTCATCACCTTTACCTTCCCCCTCAATCCCGATTGGGCGGTCAGAGGCAAGATCCCATAGCTCAAATATTGTCCCAAGCGCGGATCGCTCGGTAAAGTGGCCGATGACAAGTCCACGATGACACTGAACTTCTTGGTGGATCTAGCTTTAGCTCGGCCATTAGGAACATAGCTTGTCCCAACCTGTGTTGTCCCATAGTAGAAGCTAATAGTGCTGTCGTCGTACTTGTAGCGGCCGAAATTGGTGTTCTTGACCCCAAGTTCAGCAATCATGTTGATGTTGAACGACGGATTGCTAGTCGATGTCACCACATCAAAATTCCCGAACGTTGCTGACCGGACTCGGAACTTGGGGCGTCTGACTTTCATGACTGTAAGTGCAAAGAGCAGTATAATTGCGGTCTGGAACACAATGAAAACAACACAATATTTCACAAACTTTATGCGTTTCTCGCGATGAAGCCTTCTGGAATGATCCGCCACCACCTCCTCCTCGGAAAATTTTGACTCCGCCATCAAATAAACTCCGTTTTCTGCTAGTAAAAAACAGTGATATATATATATATATATGTATGTATGTGTATATGTGTTGAGTTTTTGGTTAAGGTTGCGAAGAAAATGAAGATGGGGATAAAGGGTTTGTGAGAGTGTGAGAGGGTATAAATAGAGTGAAATGGTTGGGTCAAAATTGATGGCAAGTTGCAAAGGGAATAGTGAGAACTACCAGAAAGATGAGTCCGGGTTTTGCTTTACACTTACTTTATTTTATTTTGTGGCGGCTGTAAATATTGGACTAAATGGGCTCAACTTGGCTTTGTCTTGACTCTCGGCTGGCTGAGACTGCTGTTCATTGTCATTAAAGTTGTATGTATGTGTACGTTTTAGTTATTAGTCACAGAAACTTCCATTCGAATTTGATTTATTGCAAGATTGTCTCTTGTTTAAGACACAGCACACGTCCATTGTTTCTAGTCATGCTGCAAAGTTTGGTAAGTTGTAGCATTCAAGATGCGACTTTTCAACTGTGAGTTAGACATATGCGTACACACATTTAATCCGTGATAATAAATTTATAAGAATTAGCTTCAGGTGTATTTGGTGTAATACCAAAGCTTCATGGTTACTTTTTAGGATATTTAATTAATTAATTAATTATTAATTTATTAGAAAGTTCAAAGAGACACACACTAACCAAAAGGGGTTAAAGCTTTTGCCGTCTAGACTTAATGATTATTGTTGTGAAGATACAGTACGTGTAGATTTTAAGATTAGTATATTATTGTTGTGATGATACAGTGTAGATTTTAAGAGCATATATATATATATATATATATATATATTAGTATATTGTAATAAAGAACTCTACTCTTAACTAAACTTGAATTCTTATCAATTTTAATTTGAGAAGAGAAAAGATATCACAATACAGTACTGAATAGAATAAGAATTATATAATCAAATTTTTTTATTAAATTTTATTTACAGTAATATGTTTTAGTCAAACTTTTTCAATCAAATTGAACTGTTCTCTTTGACTAATTGGTACTCCCGCATAATTTTATTTTAATATATTTTGAGATGATTTTACATAATTATGTATTTAAATATGAGCTTCGTGATGATATACTTCAGGCTTAATTTTTTATACTCGGATTGTGTAATTATCAAGGTGGTCATGATTCGTGACGTTTTTATTTATTTATTTATATATATATATATATATGCATGTATGCACAGATGAGACGCGCAAGAGCCAATTAGAAGTCGATGCCATTTTAATCAAATATTTTCCGTCCTCCATTATTGCTGCTTTATTAGTGGATCTGACTTTTGAACAATTTGCTACCAGTACGAATGACTCAGCATCTCCTTCCACAATTACATTAGTATTAAAATCCCAAATGACATGCTTCTTCTTTAGTAATGAAAATATCCCAGGGTTGAGGCCTCTGCCACTGTTACATCATCCTCCTCCTCCTCTTTTTTTTTTTTTTTCTTCTTCTTGTTTTTAACCTTGCAAACACAAACAAAGCACGGATTAAAATAAACAATCCGTAGCCACCAGACCCAGGATATTAACAGGAATATGGACAAGAACAATATCCTGAGCTATATGACGTCTAGAAAGCTTTGCAAGAGCATTTGCAATCTCATTACCCTGCCTATGAACATGACTAAAATGTGAGGATGAGAAACTCCGAAGCGTCACTTGAATATCAAAGGATATGGCTTGAATCTCAACTGGCGCACGATCAACATTAGAAACCGCTTTAACAACAATCAGAGAATCGCATCCAAACCATACGTGGTCAAATGAAAAACTTAGCGCCTATAAAACTACCCTTCTAAGACAAATGGCCTCTGCAGAAGCTGCAGCCCCCCCCCCCCCCCCCCCCCCCCCCCCGAGTCACAAAAAATAGCTCCGCCTCCCCCATCATGTGATGAGATAAAAAAAGACGCATCCACATTACATTTCACAACACCCGCTTGTGGAGGCATCCATCTCGAGAGAGAATAGGAAGCTTTGTGAAGAGAGCTATGAGCCAGCGAACCTTGCGATAACCTTAGGGGTGGAGCATTAGAAGCATCCTTGAATTCCCATAAAATAGAGCAATCCATACTAACAACCCATTTAGTATCCCAACACTCCTCACTGAACACAAACTTGTTTTGAGCCTTCCAGATAAACCAACAACAAGAAGCAACAAAACTAAACACATCCGACCCCCCTTCCTTATCCTCCCACTGACGAAGCAAATTCATCCACCAATCAACAAAGAATATAGGATGGTCATAAACAAAATCAAACCGCATCGGGGATAGCTTCCAAATCTAGATGGATTAAGGTCAAAGAAAAATCATATGTTCAATGCATTCCTCTTCCAAACAACAACAAGGACATACCACCTCAACACCAATACCATGGGATAGGAGGAGTTTACGGACTGGGATAGCAAGCTTACAACACTTCCACAAGAAATGCTGAATTTTGGGTTGAACCTTACATTTCCAAATACTGCTCCAAAGCCTCTTATTATGGGAAGAAGAAGATGAAACCGATTGAGGAAGGCCATTACCACCACTCAGCATTCTATGAGCCAGTCCATAAGCGGACTTCACAGTGAATACACCATTGTGCTCTAAGTCCCAAAACAAGATGTCCGCTTTAGAAAAGATACTAAAGGAACATTTAAGAATAGCATCAACAATAAGAATAGCATCAACAATAGCAGGTGGAAACAAAGAGTGAAGTAAACTCACATTCCAGTCGTGACCCTAATTATCAAATAAATCAGAAACAAAAATCGGGACCATATTATTATGAGGTCGTGAAAGTTTAACAGAAAGACCAGGAACCCAACGATCATCCCAAATATTAATGGATTGTCCATTTCCCACTATCCATCTAGACCTTGCGGTAATAAGAGATTGAGGGGACCAAATACTCCACCAAGCCCAAGAAGGATTACTTCCCAATTTCGCTTCCAAAAAGGAACAGTTTCGAAAATATTTAGATTTAAAGAGTGAAAAAGCCATTCCTTTTTGGGAAACCATAAAATTCCATCCATGTTTAGCCAACAAAGCCTCATTATAAGCCTCAAAGCACCAAAAACCTAATCCTCTATCCTCTTCCGCATCACATAAGGCCTCCCATTTAATCCAATTAATATTAGGAGAATCACCGGTTTTGCCCCACTAAAATCTGCGAATGAGCTTCATGATGGAATTACAAAGATTACGGGGCAATTTAAAGTAGGACATCACATACGTTGGTAAAGCACTCAACACTGCTTTAAGTAAAACCTCTTTACCAGCTGGCGATAATAACAAGGATTTCTAAGTCGCTAATCTATCAACAACACGTTATGAAATATATTAAAAAATATCCCATTTGGATCTCCCTATAATTGCCAGCATTCCCAGATATTTAGAATACGCTCTTTCTTCTTGAATCTCCAGCAACTGACATAAGCTTGTTTTATCCTCAGCACTAGTATTTTTGGAGGAAAAAAATAGATGATTTGGCAAAATTGATCTGTTGTCCCAATGCCCGTTCATACCGCTGGAGGAAATTCTTAAGGAAGGTTAATTCGGTAGTAAAGGCCTAATATAAAAGGATCGAGTCGTTTGCAAAAAATAGATGTGAGATAGCTGGAACTTGCGGACAAATCCGAATACCTGAGATAACTCGATGCTGAAGCGCCACCTATATAGAAAATGAGAGAGCTTCAGCACACAAAATAAATAAATAAGAGGATAATGGATTCCCTTGACAAAGCCCTCGCGTGGGTTTAAACAAGCCCATGGAACAACCATTAATCACCACATAATAAGAAAACCGTAGAAATGCAAGCATGTATGATTTTAAGCCAACGTGAATGAAATCCCAATTTATCAAGCATAGCTAACAAAAAAGGTCATTCGATTCGATCATAGGCCTTACTCATATCCAGCTTCAATGCAAGAAAAGCTTTTTTACCTTTTCGTTTATGCTTGAGATAATGAAGTAGCTCATGAGAAACCAAAATATTATCAGTAATTTGTCTCCCAGAGACAAAAGCACTTTGCGACTCACTAACAATAGAAGGAGAAACTCTTTAAAACGATTAGCCAGTAGCTTTGCAACTATCCTATAAGAAACAATTGTTACATCCTTTGTATAATTATAGAATGATAATAAGTTTGGAATCTGATAATATTATCAAACCTTTAGTTTCGATTGTAGGATATCTTCTCTTCAAATGAAAGGTTGTTAAGAGTTCAAACTGACTAAAGACATATTGTGGATGCATGTGTGTTTGCTTTAACTTTCCAAAGAAGAAAATTATGATAATATTATTATTAGACACCTTATTTAAAAGCTTTGGGGTAGTATTTTGGTATTTTCACGCTTAACAATATCTAACTCTAATTCTACAGCACTATAGTTGGGGGGGAAGTTATTCATATTGAACTGTGTAATTTGGTTTTGTCCTTCATCACAATGAAGTAATTTCTACTATTGGGGAATATAGCCTAAATTTTTAGTGAACGACGTAAATTTTTGTGTGGTGTTTCTTTTTTTATTAGTTTTCGATTCCATCACTTGCTTTTCCTGAAACTGTATTGAGCTACGCATTAAAGTGGCATTCTAACGTAGCAAAAAACGATAGATTATTCACAAGGAACAAATTACTTTGAATCCACAAAGTATGTGTTTTGAGTCTACAAAATAAGAGATAAATTCATAAAGAATTCTAAAATATTATTGATAAAAGGTTAAATTTTGCTCTTACAATACATGAATATTTATAATAGAGAAAACCTAACACTAGAAGGAAACTAAAATCTAATCCTACAAGGAAACTAATCCTAGAAATAAGTATAAAAATAAATCCTCTCTAAAAATTTCGAAAAAAATAGAATAAGAAACCTAATAAATAAAAAATACTAAATCTAAAATTTTAGAGCATATAGACTTCTTTAAGGCCTCGATCAAAAAACCCAAAATAATCGGCAAGCCTCCTATAACACAA